GATGCATGTGCGATGGATAATGCTTTTAAATGTTAAACATGAGTATCATTAAACTCTTGCAGCCCTGGCTTTTAATGTAACAACAGCATTTCATTTTTTAACTTGAAGCATACCTGGCATTGGAGTCTGGAATAGTTGGACGAAGATTCCATTTGGAGCTAAGTTATATAGAGTGCAGCGTAAAAACTGTCGAGCAATGCTTGCGGAGTTTCCCTGCACAATAACATAGGGTCTAAAAGTTTTAGCAAAAAGACAAAATTACACCATTAATAAAAAGTGAAGCTTCGCCATGAACTGATAATAGAGAATAAGAGCAAACCCAGTCACAAATGTAATGGATGAAAGTTTAAGCAAGAGAAAACAAGTACCAAAAATCATTCAAACGAGCTCTCAGGGTTCTAACGTTCCTAACATGGAGGCTAGCATGATAAGAGACGCCAGTAACATGAACGGCATTATGGGCAGATAGTATTGTCAGGAAATTATAAATGAAATTGCTGCTGTTCCTGTGACCAATTCTAAATTGACTTCCACCTCAATTACCAGTGCGTTTTAAACTTTCAGCGTGTACGAGTTACGAACCAACATAAATGTAACTGCGATTCAATCAAAAACGCCTTATTTAAAAACAAACGTATTCGCTGATTTGACTAAGTATTCAATTACCTTATATCTTGAAGTTCGAGAAACTACATAACGATTCGGTCACTCCGAGATATTTATTTTAATCTATCGGGTGTGGATTGGTTGAATCGCAGAATTGTTTCCAACTTTGTTTCCAATCACGCGTCCGTCTGAATTTAGACGAATAAATTTCCCTCTTTTGCCAGGTGACTGCCACTAATAAATGTACCGTACCTTCAATTTTCAACGAGCGCATATGTATTTTAATTAGTTGTGCGAACATTTTTAAGGATGCATCCATGTGAGAACCAAATTCAGAAACTTAGCCGGAGTGGTGGAAGACGTATAAATAACGCCTAGTTTTTTTAATTCGTCGTGGACTTCCAAGTGCAAGTTAGTAACTCTCAATGGATCCAGTAGAAGGAAGAAGTTGTGGGCCAGACAGAAGGCACAATGTTCTTACTTAAATATGCATCTGCTAATAATGCACTGTTTGGACAACGGGTGATTAACTTGAAGCACAACGGGACCTCCATACGAAAAGTGAATGTTGTTTCAACAATGTTTAATTATCGTACTGAGTTAAAAGGCACGTGTTTACAATCTCTAATTCGCCGATGACCAAAATGTTACTTACAATGATTTCTGCCATGAATATGGCGTTGATGTAGCTATCCGTGAAGCGGTCGAAAGCATATCAATCAGGTAGGGTGCAGCCATACTAGGCTCTCTGTGCACAAAGGTAGCCAAACAGGCTATACCGAGGCCAATGGTTGCTTCATCATGGGACTCCAGAACACCCTGACACCAAGGACATCGTTCTGTACTCAAAGCTGCTGTCGCAATTTCCGAGGCCATGGAAGCGCTTATTCCGGGCGTTCCACTGTTCCTCCGCATACGATTTATAGAGGAGACGCGCCGCGCATTTAGAGAAGGAGTGTACTGGTGAGAAATTGCGTCAGAATCGCCGTGTGCGGGGTCTTCGTCTGCGATTGGGTCTGCCTTTAATAAGTCATCGTCGATTTCGCTGACCCTAGTTAACGGAGGACGTTCGTCGACGTGAGACTGCTTCTTTGAAGGCATTTGCGGTCTAGATAAGCCTGCCTTTGAGAGGGACTCCACAGTAACATCACTGGAAATCACTTGCAGCAACGAGCATGCCTCTAACTCAACGGGTTTTTCAAAGCTGTTCAATAAAATATCAACATTAGTTTTTCTATATGCATCAATCATTGGGAAGGCACTGAAAAGCTAGGTAAGTGGATATTTCCTTGACTACATACTAATATTACACGTAATATAGTCGAATAAACAAAATACTTGCTTACATCCCTAGAATATGGTCTTCCTCAGAGTTTACTATAGACAGTCTCGTGTACTCTGAAGTCCTGCAGTTTAACCAAAGCGAACTGGTGAAAAAACCCAAGGCGGATTTCCCTTGGCTATTTGCACCGATTTGTCCAGTTTTGCAAAGCAGATCTCCTTCGATTAGTATAAAACTCTCAGTCAACACAAAAACAAAAATGTTCCAGTGAAACCCTGTTATATTCTAACAAATTTAAACTCAGATAACTAGCTTCAAACAACCCGTACCACCGCAGCACGTCAGCCTCCCCAATTAGTTACCCGTTTATGAAAATTTCTAGAATGATTACAAGTTAAGTGAAGCAAGTTTAATTTTGAATGAGAAGAAACAAAAAAAATAAATACACACTGGAAACGATTTTTGACTAACCTCTCAGACCGTTGTGTCGCCAGCTTTTCCAAAGTCCTTTCAGATTTTGTATCTAGATGAAAAGTTCGGACGTCAGTAACAAACGTTGTTCGAAATGCGTTGGTTGGATGTAGTATATTGCAGCGTAAACTTATATTTGCTCTTCAAATAAATCTACTTAAAAAGAATCTGGTTTACCTAAAAGTTGGAAAACTCCAAAGATTATGTAGATTCGGGGATAGATCCGGATATACAATCTATGATTACTAAGTTCATGTGCATCATACGTTCTTCTAGAATTGTATTAAAAGGTACATAAAGACTTTAGGTTGATTATCCCATGAGGAAACCACGTCGACGCAATTAAATTCATTATGAGTTTTCATGACATGCTAGTTAAAATTTCGAAGCTTGTTTTTGATTAGAAGAGATCATTTTAAAGGAGTTCTAATACTGATTATCCTCCAACGCCGTCCTACAAGTTTCAGGCATGGGGGGATGCCGACTTCGGAATGCACGTTATTTCCGTCGAATGCAAAATACTTCCGAATAGAAGTGAATACGCGCGCCCCAGGTTCTTGTTGCAAAGAAGAGGAAGACGCGACCTCTGGAAAGATAGTTTTATTCTGAGCTTTCGGCTCCACACGAGAAGCCATCGTCAGAGTAACCTCTGGAACAATAGTTGTATCCTGAGCTTTCGGCTCCACACGAGAAGCCATCGTCAGAGTAAATGAAAACAGCCAAACGTCAGCTACGCATACATGGGGTTGGTAGGGGAGGGGGTTGGCAATTACTGATTGGTCCGACGCGCTTCCCTGGAGTAACGGCGTGTGACCTTGAAGTGGTGGCCTGCATGCTTGTAGA